AGAGAGAGAGAGAGAGAGAGAGAGAGAGAGAGAGAGAGAGAGAGAGAGAGAGAGAGAGAGAAATATATACATATATATATATATACATACATACATATATATATATATATATATATATATATATATATATATATATAGAGAGAGAGAGAGAGAGAGAGAGAGAGAGAGAGAGAGAGAGAGAGAGAGAGAGAGATAGAGAGAGAGAGAGAGAGAGAGAGAGAGAGAGAGAGAGAGAGAGAGAGAGAGAGAGAGAGAGAGAGAGAGAGAGATAGAGAGAGAGAGAGAGAGAGAGAGAGAGAGAGAGAGAGAGAGAGAGAGAGAAAGAGAGAGCGTGAATACGTGTGTATGAAAGAGAGAGGGGGGACCAGTGAGGAAGGGAGGGATGGAAGGAAAGGTGGGAACTCAAACAGAAAGAGATACTGGGAAGGAGAAAAGTGACAAACAGAGATGGAGACAGAAAACAGAGAAAGAGAGACAGAGAGAGAGAGAGAGAGAGAGACGCGGTGAAGCAAACAAAAGATTATATAAGGAGGAGAAAATAAAGAAAGGGAGAACTGAGGAAAGAACAAGAGAAATGGAAATGGAAATAGAAAGTGGGCAAGGGAGAGAGACTTAGGTAGAGAAATATTGGGAAAGGTGGGAGGCGAGAGAGATGAAATCAAATAAACAGAGAGACAGATAAGGAAACAAATATAAGAGGTGAGAGAGAGAGAGAGAGAGAGAGAGAGAGAGAGAGAGAGAGAGAGAGAGAGAGAGAGAGAGAGAGAGAGACAGAGACACAGAGAGAGAGAGAGAGAGAGAGAGAGAGAGAGAGAGAGAGAGAGAGAGAGAGAGAGAGAGAGAGAGAGAGAGAGAGAGAGAGAGAGAAAGAAAGAGAGAGAGAGAGAGAGAGAGAGAGAGAGAGAGAGAGAGAGAGAGAGAGAGAGAGAGAGAGAGAGACAGAGAGAGAGAGAGAGAGAGAGACAGAGAGACAGAGATACAGAGATACAGAGATACAGAGAGACAGAGAGAGAGAGAGAGAGAGAGAGAGAGAGAGAGAGAGAGAGAGAGAGAGAGAGAGAGAGAGAGACTGAGAGAGGCACAGAGAGAGAGAGAGACAGAGAGAAAGAGAGGAGGGAGATCACGGAGGCGAAGCTCGAGAGGGTAAACAGATGAATGAAGAATGAGAAAAGGCGGAGTGAAGTCTGGTCATTCATGCTGGCATCCACCCAGAGGATGTCTAGACGAGATGTTGAAAGATATCGCTCGTAAGTTTTTTTGTGTGTGTGTCTGCTCTGCCTCTATTTTCCTTATTTTAATATTCACACGTTTATCGTATATTACCCATCCCAACCTTTTTATTTATCTCCGTTTATGTTTTCTCCTTCCTTCACGTTTTCAATCGATAACTTGCTCTCCACTTTCCCTTTCGCAAGTATGTGAATGCGCGGATTCATGGATTCACCCTCGCCTGCCCTGCGCGAACGCTATAATATGCAGGGCAGCAACGCCGACTTTCTCCGTCTGTCGAAGCTTATCATTGCCTGACCCGGAGACCCTGAGAGAGAGAGAGAGAGAGAGAGAGAGAGAGAGAGAGAGAGAGAGAGAGAGAGAGAGAGAGAGAGAGAGAAAGAGAGAGAGAGAAAGAGAAAGAAAGAGAGAGAGGAGAAGCCAAGAAAAGATGAAAGAGAATATACAAAAGGATTTGAAAAGAATCCGACAACCACGACGCGAAAGACGAAAGCGAAAATGCAGTGATAATGTACACAGAGAAGACACATAGGCTCGAACTTCTGAGTGCTCACTTTTAGATGAGGATGATGATGATGTCCGCGAACAAACAAAAAAAATAAATAATATGACACGTCTTGGACACAAAAGTACACGAATATACCCTGCCATGCACACACACTCGTATACACTCTGACTTCTACCATGCACACACACACACATGTACACGCTCTGACTCCTGCCATAAACACACACATGTACATGCTCTGACTCCTACCATGCACACACACATGTAAACGCACACTCAGTCCGCGAACCCAGAAACAACTTCCTTGAACTGAAACATGCGAGTTCATGCACCCACAACATGCAAAATGATTTGCATCAAACAAAAAAAATAACATCTACACTGCGGTTCTTTCTTTCTTTCTTTTATTTCTTTTTGTAGACATTTCCTTATAGTTTTGTGATATCGTGTTGAAATTTGCTTCCTTAGGATAGGTCGATCAACTCGCGACGGACCAATTTTATGGTTTTTAATCATTCTAAAAATGAATAACTTCATTTTGCTTCCCTGGATTTCACGTGAGTTGTATGACGTCATGAAAAGCGTAATAGAGTCACGTGACCTACACTGACATCCTGTGAAGTGTTGTGACGTCACCTGGGTCTAGATAACGTACCACGTAAGTATCAGTGACGTCACAGGAACTGTAAAACGTCACGTAATTTTTAATGACGTAACAGTTGCAATGACACACAAAGATATCGCTACTTTCTTCTCTCTTCTTCTTCGTCTTCTTCTTCTCCTTCTTCGAATTCTTATTCTTCCTCTTCTCCTTTTACTCCTGCTTCTTCTTTTCCTTCTTCTTCTTCATCTTTTCTTCTTCTCTTTCTTCTCAAACGGCGTCATTTACGAGCGATTGCAAAGGTGAAAAGAGGTTTGAGGAATGACAACAGCGCCACGCAACATTAGGCGAGGTCAGAGGTCACACAGGTCAGGGTTTATGAGAGGAGATAGGACACTGGAAGAAAGGAAGGGAGAGAGAGAGGAAGAGGGAGATAGATAGATAGATAGATAGATAGATAGAGAGAGAGAGAGAGAGAGAGACAGACAGACAGACAGACAGAGACAGACAGAGACAGAGAGACAAAGAGAACGAGAGGGAGACAGAAAGAGAGAGAGAGACAGACAGAGACAGAGAGAACGAGAGGGAGAGAGAAAGAGAGAGAGAGACAGACAGAGACAGAGAGAACGAGAGGGAGAGAGAAAGAGAGAGAATGAGAGAGAGAGAAATGTAACGAGACTGAAAATGAGAAGAACGAAAAAATGAGGAGAAGGAGAATGAAAAGAGAGAAATGAAAGAGAACTAAAACCATGATGAAGAAAGTAACACGCGTAATAAAGACGAAATAAAAAAAATAAAAAAATAAAAAAACGACAGACATTATGATAAAGAAACATAGGAGAAAAAAAGAGAAAAGGCAGAAATAAAAGAGAAACGATAACCAGTGAAATATTGCTATAATGATAAAGAAGATAATAATAAGCGTGGAACCGAATGTAAAAAGGGAAGAATACACCGGTAAGAAGAAAGGGAAAGTGAATGAACGAATAGAAACAGAACAACATATGCATAAAACGAACAGGAAGAAGACCGAACGAATGTGGGAGGAAGGTAATAGAGAATAAATGATGTGAAGAGAAAAAGTAAGATAATTGAACAGGTTATAAGAGATGAGAACAGGAAAGGAGACGAGTGTTTTCATCGAGAGAAAAAAAAAAGTAAAAATAACATACGAACGTGTTTATAATGCAAAATTAATTGAATTCCAGTGATTACCGTAATTGCGCGATTGCACTAGGGTAGTTGGGATCAAGGTAATAAAAGCAATAGTAATGAAAAGCGAATGAACTGAAACGATAAGAATTTTGCATTTTCGTTTGGATAAACACACACACATGCACGCACGCACACACACACACACACACACACACACACACACACACACACACACACACACACACACACAGATATATATATATATATATATATATATATATATATATATATATATATATATATATATATATATATATATACACACATATATATATATATATATATATATATATATATATATATATATATATATATATATATATATATATATATATATATATATATATATATATATATATATACCATCACCCACAGGTATAAATCTTTTCCTTAGCAGCTTGTCATAACAATTCATTATAATCAAAACATTCTCTAATTTTATAACATTTTTCACTCTTTTCAGATATAATTTTCTGCCGAATCTATAAGCAACAGGTAATTATTTATGTTCTTATATACCGTCTTGTTTTCAGGTGCGAGAGATTGGTCTCTCTGGAGGCTTATCTGTTCCCCAGGCACGTGTTACCTTCCTTTCTCCCTCCTCTCTCTGCCTCTCTGTTTCTCTGTCTCTCTGCCTCTCTGTTTCTCTGTCTCTCTGCCTCTCTGTTTTTCTGTCTGTCTGCCTCTCTGTTTCTCTGTCTCTCTGCCTCTCTGTTTTTCTGTCTCTCTGTTTCTTTCTCTCTCTGTCTGTCCCTGAATGTCTGTTCGTTTCTCAATTTATTTCCCTTTCTCCTTGCATACGTTATATGTTATCTTTATATATGTTATATCTATGTTAATTCATTTCACTTTTTATCTCTATCCATCGATATATATTTCATTACATCTATCTGTTAGTTCATCTCTATCGTTTCTCTTATTTTAACGTTGCTCTCTTCCTAAATATTTCGTTTTTCTTCATCTCTCTTTCTTCCTTTCTCAAAAAAAACATCTATTCCTCAGTACCATTTAACAGTTCGATCTCATCCCATTCATTCTATTACCGTTCTTATCTCCGATTTATCTATCAATACTTTCTTTAGTGTAGTCTCTCTCTCTCTGCTATCTATCCAACTTTACCGTACTCCCTTTCTCTCCCTATTCTCTTCGGTTCTCCCATCTAATTGTTCCTTCCTTCTCATATTCACTCTCTCTCTGTTCTCCCATCTATCTACCTTTACCGTATTCTCTTTCTCTCTCTATCCTCCTCGGGTCACCCATCTATCTGTTCCTCCCTCATCGCATTATTTCTCTCTCTCTGTTCTCCCATCTATCTACCTTTACCGTATTCTCTTTCTCTCTCTATCCTCCTCGGGTCACCCATCTATCTGTTCCTCCCTATTCGCATTCTCTCTCTCTCTCTCTCTCTCTCTCTCCGGCTCTCCCATCCCCTGCACCGGGACCTAC